TGTCCTGGACTATCACTTCCATTATCCGTCTCCAACTGGATACCCTAGAATCATTGTAAGCTGTGCCTTCAACTAGGATCAACTGCTTCGTCATTCGAGGTTCGAGGTGACGACAAGACAGAAGCTTTGTATAAGGGATTTTTCTCGACTTGGCTTTTTCTTACTTTTGTTTGCATATATTATACCGTCAAGGCATTTAGTTAACTGGGGGTTTGCCTTTGAGTCTTTGCTCTTCAACCATATCGCCTGAAAATAGAATATAATCAAAAGGAATTCCATATAGTAAAGCTGAACCGTGAGGGTGACCTGAAGGTAGCCCCCAAAAAGAAAAACCTTGGAAGTAACTCGAACCTTTATCTTTTTGTGATCCGAAGAGCAGTAATCGCTGAAGCAGGCACACAGAAGCATTTTCTTCACAGTAATCATGCATGATTCCGTTTTCTGGAAATAGTTTTGACTTCTCTCGACTAATGTAAGCCTTATGAAGCGACCCGTTGGGTTGACTAATGCGTGTGCTGCTCAAGGAGCAGAGGTAAAAACCACATTCTGGTGGCAATCATTGTCATAAGACAGCCAATGAAATGGTTGCTGACCGATTTTTGAAATGGGAATTTGAAAGGAGAAAATAGAATCTGGCCCAATACAGTCACCAGCATATGGAAGTCGTTTCAGATTTCCCCAGTAAAATCACTGAGAGACGGGCAGTTGAATCGGTTCTGTGTAATCCATTCGCCGCACGCGGCAATCGCGAGCTAGTTGCCTCGTTAGGGCAGTTCTAGTGTTCCTCATACAGCTAGTTCGGTATGCGAGTAGCATTTTTTTCGTGATTCTTCTGCTACTTCTTTTGTACCTGTTTTCCTTACTCGCCGCGCCGCTTCCGCTCCATTCTGCTGCAATACTTAGAGGCACAGTTCGCGATAATTTTATGGACGGGNGGACACGTCATTGACATACCCGCCCACTGAATTATCGCGAACTGTGCCTTTAATGAGCGACGTAGCTCTCGCCGCAAAGTGACCATTTCAAACCAACCCGAACATCATGATGCACGGCACGAAAAAGAGATCTGTTCGCAATTTGTAGACAGCAATGCTGTTAGTAAAAATGACAGGACCAACTGCTTAGGAGAAGTGCCCTGATGTGCGCATTTTTCAGTTTTGTCTGTTCCATGAAAGGTTCAAAGTCCACTTGAATGGGCCAATGGCCCTGAGGGCAGTTGTAAACTCTTCCGATTTCCGCTGAAACCCATTCTCTCCGCGTCCAACCCCCTGATTTCCTGAAACTGACAACCATATTTGAAAGCTGCTGTTTCAATGCTTTGCATCGACCTCCAAAGGGAAAAGAGCCAACTTGTAAGTACATTGTTAGGAGGAGACAATCGAGTGTTTACCCTGAAACAATCTCTGAAAACTCGAAAAACAAATAAGGAAAATGTGCTTACAAAATGTTGATATCGCAAGACCTCATCCTCAGAATATTCCAAATTAGTACATGGAGGTGGCATTACAAATGTGCAATATTGGGCGGTGACATTTGTCTGAAATTCTAGCATTTCTACTATTCCCGCATGATACTCCGGTCAATAGTGTAATAATTATAACGCTTCCTGGGAAGTATTTGCCGGCAACTTCCCTGAGGTCTAGATTTTTCCTGAGATTTTCGGAAAGGTCAGAAAGAAATAGTATACAGAGCGCTACTCCCCGAAAAACCCCGAAGGTCCAGTAGTTTTTAGATTTCAATAACAGAACAGCCTCCGATCCCAACGCATGAGAAGTACGAGTCGAGTATAGAAGGCAGTTCAACTACTCAAATTCTGAACAATCACGGTAGAGGGAGCCGGATACGTCGTGCCCACAAACGGTAGTGTCCTTATATTGCTTCCGTTGGAACTACCAGGACACCCCAGAAAAAGTCTAAACTATCGCAAAATCTTGGCAATCGGGCTTTCCGAACAATATAACCCTCCAATAGGTCTGAAAAAAAAACTGTTGAGTTCCCTTGAAACTTTTCGTTTAATGCGAGAAAAAGGGAATTTGCCATCGAAGCAGTCTCATGCTGTTCTATCTCGATTTTTCTCTGGCGGAACCCTTTCGCTAGCTCTTTTCTTGACTAACCTCTTGAGGAGATCGACTATTGGTTTTAATTCCTTTTTATTTTCATTAAGCATTTTCTTGAAGAAAGACCAGCTAGAGGTGCAAGAGATAACGTAGTCGTTATTCACTGCCCCTCCTTATAGAAGTTATCCATCATTTGACGAGAACTTGAGTAGAGTGTTGGTTGGATACGCTTTGCTGTTTTTGATATCGGAATGAAACCGCACTGCGGTTGTTATTAAGTCTCTCTGTGGCTACAGAGCAGTTGTGATGGATGTGACCGATTTCTCTACCTTCACATGGTAAACAACAATATTTGTGTCTCGGTCCATAAACGAGATTTTCAGCAGATCTCTTTTTGCAATCCGGGTGAACCACGAAAAAGTGTCTTTCAATGATTTTGTCCTGCGAAAGGGGCGAACGTCCGTTGCGCGCGTCCATCGAAAGTAGGTCACCCCGCCCACTTCGCGCGCGGCGCACCCCACTGAGGTCTCGAGGTGACATTACAATACCATCAAGTGTGAGTGGAGCAAACGGTTTGCATTTGTCCATGTTATCTTCTCATTGGCTGACTGCCGTGGACCAAACGCAAACCGCATGCCCCACTGACAACTGCGACGTCTGTGAAGTATCGCGGGCTGACCCGCCGCATGCGACGGCTGCGGCGTGACCTAGTTTCTACAGACGCGCGCAACGAAGCGCACCCAGCAAAAGGAAGTCGGGAATAAATTTTGGAGGCTTTCCTGAGAACCGTTTTTTGTTAAAATCTCGCTGCTAAACGAACATAACCATTCCCGTCACTGAAAAAAACCATTGCCACATTCCGAGTTCACGTTTCACTAGTTATCCACGAGAGTGATGTTAGGGTGCTTTCCATATGCAGGCACTCATTCCATTTAAATTTATAACAAGCAAGGATACTTACGGCGTCCCAGGGAGTGGTGCTCTGAAAAATTCTACACTCCACACAGTCGGACTTTTGAACTAGCGTTACTAGAATGATGATCACTCCTGGAATTGAAAACCCTCATTAAAACAAAATAACGAGTAGATCCTACTGTATCAAGAATTGAGCGCAACTCACTCAACATTGGCAAAGTACTGAAATCAATGAGGCCTATTCCAATCCGGTGAAAAGGAGATAGTAAATCAGTATTCATGGAATCAATACTATCGATCAGATAAGAGCGATTTCATTTGTTTCATTTTTTGCAATAAACTCGTACTCATGAAGCTTTCTATCCTTTTTCGATCCCTTTTTAGCCATGGCCGATGGACTAGGGTGATTATTGATTGGGTAGCTCATCACGTCAAACCAACATCAGAACGGTCACCAGCTTCTTCACAAAAGCTGTTAATGAGAAGAATGTTGTAGATTATGCTCCTCGACTGAAGAGGATCCACTCTGTTGCAATAGTCAGCGATAAGGGCGAAAAGACGTATGGAGAGCAGGACCAGACTCCTCCCATTGAGGGCTCACCATAAGTGTTCCCATCCTGTTCCCATAACTCCTACCAAATTTGAACGTTCGAGGTCCACGGGGATAGAAGTTGTGAATTTTTGCACAAAACCCGCCCATTGTGGGCGGAGTCTGTTCTTGCCACCTACGATAAGTGTTCTGATCCTGCCGCCCTTACTCCTACCGAGGTTGAGTGCTCTAGGATCCCGGGAACATGAGTTCTGAATTTTTGCTCGAACATTTACTTCTCACAAACCCCGCCCCCATTGGGTGGAGTCCGGTCTCGCCACCCACTAAAAGTGTTCCCATCCTGCCATCTGTATTCCTATCGAATTTGAACGCTTTCGGTCCACGGGGACAGGAGTTATGAATTTCTGGTCAGACACACACACATACACACACAAACACACCAACAGACACACTTAGCCGATTATATATATTAAGATATGCCTCAAAAATCGACACATGTGACTACGAATGCCGTCACTCCGCTGCTGGAGCCCATCGAAACTTGCGTCAAATACTTGACTTTGAGGTCAATCCTTAGCGCTTCGCTATAAGGTTTCTAAGCCGAAAACAAGGTTGTCGAAGATGAACCTCTGTCTTTCAACCGACTATGATATTATGAAATCTGGAATCTCCCGGAATACTCTAGAAAAACCCGAACTTTTGTGACATTTTTGGCAAGTTCTTTCCAAACGCCTTCACTGTTAATCAGATCAGAAGGGTGAAGTATGCTTCATATGCAGGATGAGCATTTTTGTTTATATTTATGTGCTCGTTGATGATTGGAATACAAGCATTATAAGCGATACCGAAAATTGAAAAATGCGATTTTGTACAAGATCAGAAGACGGTGATGGACTCTTTCAATAAAAATAAATGTGAAGAAGTCAATTAGCAGAGCATCTGTATCGGAGGTATCAATAAAAGCGAAAAATAAAAAAGGTGCGATGAGGATGACATCGAAACGTCCTTCTTTCTCCGAGTTTCCGCATAGATTGATTCCAATTCGCCATCCGTTGCTCTATTACAATTCGGAGTGTGGCAACAACAAAATGAGAACTGAAAAGGTTTTCTTGAGTTTCCTTCACGTCTTTATTGTACAGTACAGTAAGTTTGTAAAAAAGTGATCTAATTAAGCAGGTTTAATCCTGAAATGCGTCAGCAACCACCTCCTCTTGCCCCACAGCCCCTAATTGGTAAGTTCCACGTGGTTTGAAGTAGAAAAAGCATTAATTTTCAGTAATAAGGGCCTAAAATCGCTCAGACGACGTACAATCCAAAGATGGACGAGTTTCCACAGCGTTGTAGACGCTGGTGAGGTTGCGCCATTTTTATCGGGACTCCTACTTTACTATGGCCAGCTGTACGTGAAGGCACCATTAGATAGCTCGTACAAATACACTTTCCATGCAACCTTTACTGCCAGGTTCTCGTCTACCTTCTTATTTTACTACTTTTTTTGAAACCTCATGTTTCTCTATATACGCCGGATTTCGCGTTTTCTTCGCCACTTTTGCATTATTGCACTATGCCGCACTATCCCTTCCATTATTCGTCTAAATCAAGTTACCCTAGCGTTATCGTGAACGGTGCCTCCAATAGTAACTCTTTTTGTGGATGGAAAAGGTGGTGATTTTGACGTTTATAAAACAAAACGATAATATCCACTCATAAGGCATACATCGGCCGCCCATTGCAAGTCATTGCATAGGCTGCATACCCATTCAAATGTACCTATGATTCCCGGTGGAGGAGAGTTCAATGCAGGGGCATATCCCAAGAGACGAGTTTGATCAAAGCCGAGAAATTTTACTTTCAATTATGGCCTTATTCCAGAAATAACAAAACTTTTCACCAAACATAGCAGTCCTTTAATTTTTCTTCTTTCTGAATGCTTCGAGAGGCGCTATGCACTTGAAGAAAGATTGAAATGGGCTCAGTCTTAAGTTAAGTATTCATATTCCAGTCGAATAACTGTGTACCATGCACAATTTAACTTTGTCTCCCCGTTATTCTCCCAGACAGCGGCGGAACCTCGACATAAGGAGAGGCACGCATTCCAAGAAATCGATATATAAGATATTAGATTTTGTTTACGTATCAGTTATAGTGTTCTCACATTTCCAGTCATGCCGTCGTAAACTGAAATGCTGGTGCAACCGTCAATCCGTGAACAAGCAGCCCGATCACCACCAGTGTACCCACATCGAGACGAAATTCCTTGTTGAAAAACATTGTCTGAAATGAATAATCCTTAGCTCTTCTGATGGAGGTCTGTTTGGTTGATACCTATCAGCTCGCTGAGAGAGTATCTGCTGGAAAATTTCACTATAGTCCAGGTACTTTGTGAAATGTTCTGGAGGTTTCCATGACATCGTCATATAAGAACCACATGTCGAAGAATCGACCATTGATATCATATTATTTTTGTTTATTTTTATTTCTTGATGCCTTAGAATGTTATGTACTGCCTTTGAAGTTCTAACTAACCTCTGTTATATTAGCTATTCATCCAATCAATACAGACTATGAGTCTCTGAGATATGGATTGAGCTTATCTTTTCGCGCCACAGATCTTTTTTTTTNTTTTTTTTTTGATCTATAACGGTATGTAAAGCACGCCATTTGAAAGCTCGGGGAGTCTTTGTTCGAAGTCCTTAGAACAGTCGTCTGTCTGTTACAAGTTACTACATAAATTGAATTGTCGGATGCCCCACATGGGGTCGCGAGAGGCGTGCCATATAGGTCAAGAAGGATCATGAGAGGAGCGGCAAGATCACCCGCGATCACCCGATGAGAGAAGACCTGAAGGAAGTTTGCGCGGGTCTTTTGAGTATAAATAAGTGAGGCATTTTGTTTAGAGTATCCGGATCCTACCTATCATAGAGCCAGCACCTCCTGGCCACTGCCGACGCTCGCCCTCGTCGTCACCTCCCGACAGTTTCTTCCTTTCAACTATTTCAGTTATTTTTCTTGTTATTGTTCTTTGTGGTTACGCCATAAAAGTTTGTATAGTTCCGCGTTCTGTTCTGTTCAAGGTCACAAGAACTATCATTTGGACGGCTACTATAAATGCCAACAAGACGAAATCGCCACTTTGAAGCAGAAGATCGGCAAAATGGAAGAAATGAAAAAACGGTATGAAGAACAACTACATCAACACCAGCAAGATCTAGAAGAGGCAAAAGAAGAGAAGTGCAAGCTGAAATTTCTGACATTCCTACTTCGAGAGAATGATAGAAGAAGTTAACGGCGACGAAGACCGTATGGAAATGTTTACAATTTGGATAATGTTTCAAGTGACGATGAGGACGACCGCATGGAAGAGCTCTGAAGGATATCTCTAGTGACAAGGAAGATAAATGCGGCGTCGACAGACACGACAGTACGGATGACCACTTGAGTATCAATCGACTACAGGAAGGCCTATGGACAATGGAGAAGGTTCTCAAGAAGTTTCCACACAGAATGATCGGGGACACAAAGGGCATAGCCTGCGACAAGCCATGAGCTTTTCGTGGAAAAATAAAGTACCACTCCTCAGACTCGTGCCCCAAAGTAATCAACGGGAACGAGCGATACCACATCGTGAACACTGAAAAGTTATGCATCTACTGCCTGGACGACTGCCCAAAGCACAAGTGCACGTTCAAGCCCAGAAGCTGTTGGTATTGCGACCATGTCAGAGGAACAATTGCTGAGGATCTAACCCCGGAAGATGATGGCCACCACAAAGCACTCTGAGTGTACCGGATTCGAGGAGCCTTTGGTCGACCGGATAGTATCGCTGAGGAGAGAAATCGAAGAAAGGAGAGCCAGAATCAGCAGCCGGGAGTGTCGAAGAATCGACCATTGATAACATATTATTGATGTTTGTGTTTATTTCTTGATGTTTTAGTATGTTATGTCCTGCCCTTGAAGTACTATCTAACCTCTGTTATGTTAGCTATTCATCCAATCAATACGGACGATGAGTCGCTGAGGTATGGATTGAGCTGATCTTTTCGCGCCATATTTTTGATCTCTGATTGAATGCTCGGGGGGGGTCTTTGTTTGAAGTCCTGAGAACAGTCGTCTGCCTGTTACAAATTTCTACATAAATTGAATTCTATTGAAGTCCTGCGTGGCAAAGAGCACAAGAAAGAACAAGTTTTATTGCACCCTACCCTCCTGTGTGCACTAATATATCCGTTTGATAGTTTAACCCTATAATGGCCGATCTGTATCCCAATATTCAACGACCCCACTTTTTACGACTTCGAATCTGGACACTCTTATGCTGAGGCCAATCAAAACTTCTGTCGACTATTTCTTCCTGAGACCCCATCTAAGTAGCTCTGTGTACGCCCAGTTTCAACCCTGCATTACCGAATACACTAGTGAACCGACTACGGGAGGTATGATGAAACTGTTGATACGTATGGGCATGAAAGAAAGTGATAACCTTTCAAGATTTCTACGAAAACTCCCATAAGTTTCAAAAAACTGATTCTCTGGAATTTTTGGCAGATATTTTTCGTACATCTCGATATTTGACTCTGGAAACAACATTTGCAAATTTTTCTTACCGTCATCGATTCCAGCATGAACGACCACTTTGATGCATAGATATGCTGCACATACTCGAGTTTCATTGACGGGAATAAAGTCGTCTTCAAGAGAAACCTGGAAATCGCATACAGTATTCATGACCGTAGAGCGTCATCGGGCGTTTGTCAAGCAAACCATGAATGGTACGACAAACAACTTCCATTCAACAACTGCTTTTTTGTGGTGATACTTGATAATGATATTTGATACTGTTATTTCATACTAGTTTTCGATATCTATCGTGAGCCTGTAGTCATTCGCCTTTTTACGATATTTTTTCAGACCCATATTTATAACCCTGATTCGCTTCAAAGGAGACAATATTAATCAATTTTTATGGAATTTCCAGTTTGAAATGCATTCACCCAAACACTGCATGGGCTTTTAGTCTTCGAAGCAAGGCTGACGGTGAAGCTAAGCCAAGCCATGCCGCCATCACTTTCATAGTTACATCCAATACATTATCCTAAGCCCTTCAAAGCACCATTTCTCAAGAGTGGTGATTAAACTAAAATTACTGCAGAGGATCGAAAGTTCGGAGGCGCGTCAGCCAGATATCGTTTGAAGAATTTCGGCGTCAATCAGTCAGTTTTTTTCAAAAGGTATTCAGAAGTTTCGACCTCTGTTCAGAATCGTAGTGGCGCTTGAATGGGTATGGAGGCTGTACGATGAATTGCGGCCGCCAGCTAATATGCAGAAAGGATGGAGAAAAGACCGGGTTGAAGGGCAGCTTGTCCAATATTAACAGACAAGGCTGAGGTGGTGCAGTGGCAAGTGGCGCATTATGACACTATCATGGTCTTGGTTCGATTCTACTCATTTTTAAGGTTTATCAGAGTTCACAAGGCATGACTATCGCGGAGAGCAACTTTGAACCGTAGTCAATTCTTTGGAAGCTGCAGCTCATCAGCAGTTACCTCATCTACCAACTCCTTCTATCATTCCCTATCAAAAAGAGCTTCCGTTCCAATATTCTTGTAGAGCCCTTTTTTTCTGTGGCCATCAAAAACGTTTGAAAAAATTCGTGAATGCTTCACACACAGACCCGAGCACTAGTCAGCCCCTATTGTGGGGTATGAAGTGGAACAAATGCTCTTTGAATACTTCGAAACTTCTTTGAGAGCACCATATGCTTCAAAAACTTCTCAGGATAAGTCCACAGCCTCGACGCCCTTGGAATCCCCTCTTCCCTACTCAATTCAACAAATCCACCCAACGAGCGGAACAGATTATGTCCCTCATGAGCGGTGGAGATGCCAGAATGACGGCAGTGATTTATAATACCTATGGATAACATATGGTCGAATGGAAAACAACAGATCGCTCATGCGACCAATATATAAATCCATCAAACTGATCGTTTTCACCTGCATTCGACCGACGAATCCATGGTAGCAATCTAATAACGATGTAACAGACGATATCGAATAAAAGATGATCAATTGCAGTAATGTCGTGAATGTGAATTTCATAGTCCGTACCCTGTTACCTGTAAATGGGACCTAAGAATTTTCTTGAAAAGTTGATTGAGAACTCGAAGAACACAGCGAAATGGCGCTTTATAGAAAAGGCACCAACTTGACGATAATAATTTGGAAAAGTTGGAAAGGGTTCTCCTCTGAAAACACATAATAAGCGATTTAAACAGTTCCCTAGTCACGAAAATGGAAACTATCCGATTTCTCCGCCATTCCTCCAATATGAATACTTGGAAAGATTTTTCTCACGTCTGGGCTGCTGAGAGGATTACTTTCATTGCGGATGAAGTGAACTAGTAAAATGTGCTTCAAAATTTGTGATAATGAGGGATAATTGTAGAAGTTATAAGCGAATCATAGAAATTATAGAGTCAATTGAGTGCCACAATCTGCGCAGACCCAATAGGAACGACATCTTCGTGGTCGAGCTACTGAATCTTCAAAAAAGGGTTCCTCTTCTGGGAATGTAGTAACAGTTCAATAACACCCAAAAAAGCTTTTAAAATCTGGAATGTAGGGAAAAATTTTAAGCATCGACCAGATCTGGTACTGATTTCAAAC